ACTCTAATTGGGTTCTTCGATTCTTAAGAATTTTGGCAGGTCCTCTTCTTCAGCTCTCTTAAAACGCAGTGAAGCGAGCTTCGTTGAACGCTGCCAAACAAAGTGAGTACGAGCATGTAAGATGGATAGAGATTGGGGCCTGTTTTCAGGGAGGGCTGAAAGAAAGTGAATCTCTACGGGCAATACTTTGGGGGCATAGCTTGACTGTCTATGAAAAAATCTAGTATTCTGACTTGGTAAGGAATGGTAACAAAAACGCTAATGCTATCCATTTTCTGCCAGTATTTCCAGCAAACCAGTAACAGAATCCTTCTGACACTAGCCTGGGAGAAGCGAAACAATTGCTGTGATTAACCTCTTGTTGCATTTTACCGTACCTCATGCGTTCTTCATCTATAGACCTCCATGCAATTCTCTCCAACCTGAAGCAACAATTGCTGGGCATTCGCGATACGTGTCCTCATCAGTGAAGCATGCTTACCCAATTTCGGCGAGATAAAAAACCTTTTATCGCAATGTTTCCAAAAGCACGATGGTTTACCTCGATGTTGCTAACATGCTCGTTAAATCCTGCCTGTTCCAAGTTGCATAAACGACGCTGGTCGAAAGTTTCTATCCATGGATATCTTCATCCAAACACAGGGTTTGGCAACCGTAAAAAATGGAACTGATCGTACAGTGACACGACATACGCTACCTTTTAACTTCAATGAACCGTGCTCGTCTACTCCAAAGGAGTGATTGTCTAGCCTACACCATTCCAGCTTTGGAAGTGCGTGCGGTTCTCTCCTTTACTTGTCACTCAACTACCCAGATAGGAGAAGCAGTCAGCTACAGGCAATTACCGTCCATCTAGTTTCAAAGCGGGACTAGTCGATACCCACTCTGAAAAAGGATGTGAGAAGCTCGTTAGGTTCAGCTGCTTTCCTTTGCTAAGCGCTTGAATGCCGGATTTAGTTATATTTTCAGCTAACATGAAATACAACCGTCAGTGTAACCTGGTTAATATTGAGCCACCAGAATTAATCGCGAATGTATTCTACATAACCATCAAACTGTTGTTTCTTGTTGTGAATTATCTGTACACCCTTACCGCTGGTTGTTTCATTGCCCGGGGGATCCACTGATCCCCAGTTTTGAGTATCAGCTGGAACATCCTTTGGCTGGCTATTCCTAATACAGCCGCTATTTTCATTTCACCAGCTAATTTGGTCCACCACTTTTCGCGCTCCTTAATGGCTTTTTGTGAGTTGGCCTGACGGGGATTGATGATCCCTGAGAGATCCAACATCTCGTTTTGACTTCAGACTCTTTCAGGGCTGAGTGGAATGCATGTCTAATCTAATCCGATCCTGTCAATCCATTGCTTCACGTCGCAGACTCCCTGGCTCATGCCACTGCTCTTTCTCGTAGTGATCACAGTCAGCTAGATCAGAGGGCGGTAATGGGCTAACCTTGTTTACCACTGCCTTCGAGGG